TGTGCCACCCCCAAGCAGGGGAAGGTGAGGCGCTCTGGAACGACCCAGTGCCCACAGAGCATCAGTACAGATGCCGACTCTGCCCCAAGCACTTAAGAGGGCTGTGTGGCTCAGTGGTTGAGCGTCGACCCACGCACCAAGAGGTCGCCGGTTTGATTCCCAGTCAGGACACATGCCCAGGTTGTGGGCCAGATCCCAGTAGGGGGCATGCAGAGGCAGCAGAATGTTTCTCTCTCATCAATGTTTTTATCTCTCTCTCCCTCTTTCTTCCACTCTCCCTAAAAATCAATAAAGAAAAATAATTTTTTAAAATAATGCTTGCATAAACATTCTGTTTATCTTTTTTTTTTTTTTTTTTTTAAAGAGGGCTGCAGGACAGCCAGCTCCAATCCGGCTCTCCAGGCGTTTCCCCACAAGATGGGAAGGTGCCTCGGGTTTCCGTCCTGGTTGCTCCCACCTGCATGAAAACAATGGTAGCTGTCCCTAGTCCATGTCCACAGCGTTGGAGACATACTCAGGCTCTCTAGAAAAGAGGCACAGGGCGAGGGATGTTACTAAGCAGAGGTTTCACATTTATCGGCCCCTCACCGCGCACCCAGGATCCCTCTCCAGGAAATAGATGTGGTGGCATCTTTGGCTTGTTCGTTACAGAAGCCCCAACCCAGACAGCTTTCACCTGTCCCTTGGGGCAGAATGGCCCCCCCTGAGAGGCACCCAGGGCGCAGTGGCTGCCTCTGTGCCTGCTGCTGGTTGAGGATACCGCCCGGTGCACACGCCGCGAGCTGTGCCGGGTCCCTGCCCGAGTTTGTCAATTCGCTGGGAAAACGTGGGAAAGGGGATTTTTGTTTACTGAGATATAAATGATGATATAGTATATAAACTATTGACATCTGAGATTTTAAACTAACGTTTTTTAATTAAAACATTTTAATTGTTGACATTTAAAATTTTTAAATAAAGATACTTTAGTTTACTGATTCCAACTACCTTTCTTTGTAGTGAAATCATATTGATGAAGGAAATAGCCCCTCGAGAGAAGAGGGTAGGAGACTCCCGGGTCCGGTGCAGAGCCCGTCGGTGCCCTGGAGAGGCTGGGACCGGGCAACAGCTGGCCGCGGCAGGGGCAGGGCTCCCAGAGACAGTGGGCGGCGAAGTCACACTGCACTCTCTACAGGTGTCCCAACTGTAGGACTGCCCCCTGCAAACATGGGCGGAGCCTGTCTGTTCTCACCAGGGCTGGGTGTCAACACTGCCACCTTGGGGCTGGTGACTGCAGCACATGGCTGGGCACCACCAGCCAAACTGTCTCCAAATGCTGAGGGGTGGGGTCTTAGATCTGTCCAGGGACCCTGGTGTACATGCCCCAACAAGGACGAGACAGGAGCAAATTGTTTCCCGCACGCATCTTGTGACCTTGGTTTGTCCTAAACATGGAGGCTGCGTGGGAGAGTGGGAAACCCTGGCGTTTAGTCAGCTAAGCGTGGGCTCAAATAAGTGGGGACTGGGGATCATTTGCTTAATCTCTCTGCATCTCTGTGCACTTGCTGAGGACCAAATGCAGTGATTCATGTAAAATGCCCGGCACACAGTAGGTGTGCAGTTCCTCTCGGTCCCTCCTCCCCTTCTTTCAGGGCAGGAGTGACCCAAGCAATCTAACTGCTGGCTTCCCTCCAGCATCTAAAGTGTGCTGGGCACATAACTGATTTTCAGTAATAATCTGATAAGTGATTCACAAACTGGGCTTCTGTTTACGGGCTGTTCCTAAAGCTAAATATTTGTGAAAGTCCCATAGACACCCTGCAAAATGAAAGTGCTAGGGACGAGGGGAAGGTCAATGCCGTCAGCAGCCCGGACGGAGTCAGACTAGGACTGCGTTGGATTATGCCAGGAAAATGTGTTCTTCTCTGGGCCAAAGGCTAGGAGGTTGGATGGAAAATCAGCCCCTCAGTTAGGGAGCTGACAGGTTTTCTGGATAGACACAGGGCAGGCCAGGCCAGGCTGGGGCTGAGCCACCAGCTGGACCATGGCACTGTCAAGCCCTCAGGATCCCAATGCCACCATGACATTAATTACCAATTCGTGCTTGGACGGGCAGCTGGAAATGTCACGATGCACTGGAACAGCTTGGGAACAGCGCTCGGCCAAGCCTGACATGCACGACAACCTGTGGCCTCTTTCTGAGCAGAAAAACCCAACACCTCCCAGGCTCCCCATGGTCTTAGCTCTCAACTCCTGGGAAAATGCTGTGGAGAAGCACTTCACATCCTGGATCTCAACCAGCTCCCCTCCTCCGTACAAAGAAACACTTAGAGAAGACAAGACAGTAAGATAGATCCACCAGGAGAGAAAGCTCCCTAGGATCTATTGTTGACTGAAACACGCAGGTTGTATGAAATACCTTCTTTTTTAAACTAATATTCATGCATACACATCTGTATACCTATGTATTTGGTTATATACGCTTGGTAACAATTAATAGGGATTTAGAGGGAGCGGCTTCTATTTTGTACACTTCTTTATCATGTTTTTTGTTTTATAACAAATGTATATGACTTGCATGTTTTAAAATAAGATTTTATTTTAGCTTCCCTTAAAACAGCTTGGGATAAATCACATGTAGCTCAAATTTTAATGAGCATCTATTCTGGGTGCGAGACGGTGTTCCTTCCCCTGACAGATGAGCTGACAGACACGTGTGTGGAGTTCACTGTGACAGGAGGCAGCCCGAGGCAAGGTCAGGGATAGACAGCGTGATGCTCGGGGCTGTCACTGGCGGAGGGCCTACTATGTGCAGGCACATTACAAGTCTTCTGTCACTAAATCCCCAGGGTGACTCATTCAGTCATCAGGTACTCCAACCCCTTCGGTGTCGATCAGGTCCAATCAAGCTTTTCATTCGACTGAACACAAAGGCATCTCTGAACCACAGTTCTGTGGTCTTGTGTTGTGTCTGAGAAGCAAGAGGGGCCCAGCCTGAGAGCGGGCCCTGTGCCGCGGCCTGCCTGTCGGTGCCCTCGCCCTCCAGGTGCAGCCTGTGTCGATGCGCAGTCAAGCTGCCCTAAACTCCTCTCTATCGTACAAATAAACCAGAGCTGTCATCCGGTCTGTCCGTCCAGGACAGGCCTTCTGCTGGAACTACCCCATTTCCAAAAGAGCCTCAAAAATGTTATTTTTTTCCAATTAGCCATTTGCCTAGCAATTCTCTTTATAAGTATTAAAAACAAAAGCAAGCAAACGAGCCATTAAACATGAAAACTAAGGCGAGTCACAGGCCGCAGTAGAGCAGTGGAGCCCGGACCCAGAGCCGAGCTGGCCTGGGTGGGCGGAGCGGGGTGCACCGCTTCTCCTGAGGCTCTCCCCCTCACCTGAAACTCAGGGGGGAGCATGCACGGCAACACCCACCGAGGGCTGTTCCGGGAAGCATCATTCAAAGCCAGCTCAATAAAGGTGAGGCCCTGCCTTCCTCCAGCAGAGGGCAAAACCCATCTGGATGCCATGTCATGCAGTACCAGTTTCTAGCAATGGGCCCTGGCTCACATCAAGACCTTGGGAGGAGCCCGTTTGACAAATCCACACAGCCGGGAGGGCCTCCTTCCGGGCTCCATGCGGGGAGTTTTGAAGGTGGCAGACTGGTCAGGAGAGCGCCGGCTCACCTGGACATGGAATCGATGTCTGCTGGCCAGCAACACGGCAAGAAAGGAGGCACATGGGATACACCCGTCAAGCTTGATGAAAGGGCGACGGAAACAATGAGACAGCAACATTCTTTATTGACAGAGATATTTTATTTCGCCATCCTAGAGCATTTTATTTTTTAAAGACAGGAATTCCAGAGCGCCTCATTCATTTCTCGCTTGGACCTCACTGCCCCCGAGGAAGAGCCAGGCAATCCAAAAGGCACTGTCACCCTGTGGTTCACAGGCCTTGGGACAGAGGCCAGCATCCCTTCAGGGAACAACCACGTTACCACTTGGAAGAACTGCACTGAACGGCTGGGGCCTCGACTCCTCTCCCAGGGCGTCCAAGGAGCCAAGAGAAAGGCCAGAGCACAGGGCACCTCCCACAGCTCCAAGCGCTGGGTCAGGGCCGGGAGATGGCAGGGGCACCTGCTCGGAAGGGTCCTCAGCTGAGCCCGAAAGGCAGTGAGGTCTTCCTGGAGCAGTCCTGGGAGGAGGAGGCTGGGGAGCTGCAAAGTTCGTCCTTCATGCTACACGAGTCCCGTCTGCACGCGTGCAGAGGGCTGGGTCCCTGCCGAGAATCCTCTGGGGAGAAGGCAGGACAGGTAAGAACCCGAGCAGACAGGAGCGTGGGCTCTGCTCTCCCAGCGCCCTCCCACCCTTCACTGCAAGTGCACAGGCTCTGCGTCCTGGCTCAGACACCTCTTACATTGCTCTCTCCGCGGACAGGCATGCTCCGAGAATAAACAGGGCACCTCCTCCTCCCCGAGAGTCCCCTCGAGGGGTCACTGGCCCCCGAGGAGCCTTCCCTTGAAGCCTCTCACAGGGTTTATTCTGTTCTGCTGCTTCCGTTACTGAGGCTCCCGCCTGAATTTGATCAGTTTACTATGTGACTCCTTTCTGCTACCCCATTTCCTGTGACCCTAAGATGCTAACCAGCCAATTCAGCCTTCCATATCCACCTTGGGGTGCAGACAGGTCAGACTCCAGCCCAGACTCTGGGCCCAGGATGCTAAGGTTAATTCCTGAGTGACGTGGTCACCAGCAGGCTCTGAGCCCAGGAACCCCAAAAGAGGACGCTCAGGTGAGATTAACGGGACACATCTCCCCAGGCCCAGCCTCCCTCATTTCCTGCCCTTGTCTGTGGGGAGCCAGGAGTGGGTGGGCAGCAGGGTCCCGTGGCCTGGAAGACTCCTTCCTTCTGGGGATCAAGAGCATGTGTTGATGGAAGCGAGGCCCACAAGGGGGCGCTGGCTGCCTCTGGAAGCAACGCAGCAGGCGAGGCTGCCCACCCGCCAGTCACCGGATGAAATGCAAGTCGCAAACACAGAGCACCCAGCGTGCAAGTTCTTCGGAAAAGAAGAGAGCAGGCATGAGGGAGAAGAGTCACTTCACCCATTTATTATGTACAATAGTAAGGCACACGTTTAAGCAGCAAAGAATAGGAAAATCTTTGGCTGACCAACAGTATCAGTATTTTCTGGGGCACACACCATGTTCTTGGACTCCCCCACTCTGTACACAGACCCATCGGGCTGTGCAGCCCTGTACACCCACTTCAGTACAGACCAGCAGACTAACACGCCCAAGTGTCGCACCAGTCCCACCAGAGTCCGCTGCAGAGCACAGCACGCTGCCACCAAGCACAGCGGCGCTGCTGGTGGAAAGGGCGGGGCACCGGGCGGGGCACGGGGCAGCCCAGGTCCCCTCAGGCACCTGCCCTCTCCACAGAACTTCAGACTCTGTGAGCGCCTGTGGAGGGGAGGCGGTCCCACTGTCACTCCTCAGGAGGGAAAAAACACCTCGATTCAAAGAAAACCACCGTGGATAAATTTGCTTACATTCTGTTTTGTAATAAATACTTACAGGTAGGTGTCTATATGCGAACAGAATCTAGGCAAAATCACAGGTAAACACACCACTGGGCATCAAAACTTCTGGAGCTGATACAAGAAAATGCTGTATATGGGCTTCATTATATTGAGAACGATATTTTAATTCTGTAACAAAGCAAAGTTTCATAACAAGCACCTCACTCAGAGCATAACATGACACTAACATGCGCTAAGTATAACACAGCTTCACGGGGCACCTACTGGAGTTTAAACTAACGACTATGCACTTACATGTGTGTGTATGCAGAAGGGACACATGAGGCATGGCAAGAGTGAACCCGCTGGAGGTTACACGTACGGATGACACTGTCCAGCTTAGTGGTGGTCACTGTGAGAGGCTCATGGAGTCCAAAGATTTGCTCCAAGGAACATCTTAGGGTTCCGTTTCTTTTTTAAAGCTAAAATGGTGTGACTCACCCTAATCACACATCTTTATTTATCTAACTGAGCAAATGACTTGGGATTATTTCCAAACCAAAGTCCATCTTCAAAGGATGAAGATTCCTCCTGTCTAAGGATAGTCAGATGAACCTACCCGGCCCCAAAGGCCATTCCAGTACAGGTGTTTGCAAAAAGTCTCTACTTGGGCAGCGTGGCAGTGACCAGCACGGTCTCCCAGAGGGTCACCTTCTGAGGAAGGCGAGGTGAGATGAAGCACTTGGATGTTCTGGAGCTTAAGAAAAAAGCTCGACACACAACCTTATCGTCATGCCTCACACGTGTGCACCTACACAGACACATCTTTATATACCATCAAATTACTAAACGAGAATAGGGTTTGCTACTTAAGAGAAAAAAAACTGCTGATTAGTTCCAGAAGAAATCCATCGACTGAAATGCTGACCTCGACTGCATCCCAGCTAGTCAGCTTCTGACTTCTTAATTACTCTGCCCGTCTCCCGCGGAGCCACACATCAGAGACAAATCCATTAGACACTCCTCACACTGAGGGAAGACACTTTAAACACACTCATGAGTTAACCGGAAAAGAGAAAAGACCGACATTTCTCAAGCACAGACCAGGACTGCGTCAGGTTTGGGGAAGTGAGGAAGCCCACTGTGGGCCGGATGCTCGCGGATGGCTTGCAGCCTTTGCCATCTGAGAACAGTCACGGGCTCCCGCTGACCAGGACCACGGTGCTCTCGCTCAGGAGTGCATGGTGGCTCAGAGCACAGCAATGCACTCCGCTGTCGCCGGTGCCGACACGGAGCAGGAGCAGGAGCAGAGCAGGAGCAGGTTTTGGAAAACACACCTCTGCCCCGCAGAGCTCCTCACATATATAAGCTCTCTGCCGGGAAACCTTTTAAACCCCAATCTATTCTTCACTCTTTTTTTGTTTGGTACGTGCCCCTAGTGGGAAGCGAACCCGGGACCCTCTGGTCCGCAGGCTGACACTCCAACCGCTGAGCCAAACTTGCCAGGGCCTATTCTTCACTCTTCCTGGGAACCCAGCCTCACCTGCCATCTGTGTTCACATCAGTCTCCAGGGCTCAGACGGCTGCTGCCCAGGGAGAGCTCATCAGTCCATCAGCAAAGGTGCCTCAGCCGGGCGTCATGAGGATACGGGTGGCCGAGGGCAAAGCCAGGGAGAAGGAATAGGACCTATGGGCTTGACTGCAGGGGGCATCCTGACAGCCTCCCCGAGCAACAGAACCACCAGGCTGTTCAAGTTCACAGCTTATCTGCAACAACTGTCTGGTATCCGACCCAAGCCCTGTGCAGTCAAGTTCACACATGAGCCCGAAGAACGAGGCCCCACCCCTCTCTGGCCTCCGAGCAGAGCCTTGGGCGGGACGTGGCAGCCCTGTCCTGCGTGCCTGCTTGGAACAGGCTCGACTCAACGCCATCAATAGCTCCCAACCTCTGGGAAGCAGAAGAAAAGCAGAGAAGAAAACGCACATGCACTGAAATTAGTGGCTGGAATCCGGCAGCACCTCCTAGTCCATGGAACACCGGGGCAGCACACAGAAGCTGCCACAGCACACTCACTGAGGAAGCAGAATACTCTGGAGGTCTTCACCCCAAGCCAGAGCCTTTCCCCTGCGTGCTGAGAGGACCTGTGGGTTCCACCATCAGACTCCACCGGGAATCCCAAGGGCGGGCCTCTGGACAACGCACCAGTGTTTCTGAGATGGGCTCTGAGCCACACCTACAATGGAACACAAGGGTTTCCCCCACGCCCGGTGTTCATGGGTAATTCTAGGAGCTCTGGGCCTAGTCCTATTTCTTAGCTCCTGAGTGGGGCAGCTGTGCGTGCACACACACAAATCAGACAGGGAGAGTGTGTGCCAAGAGGCGGCACCGATCGCTATTATCCCCAACCAGAGGCGTCCACCCTGGCGAAGGCGCAGGTCCTCGCCAAACCCATGGTTCGGATCCCGGCTTCTCCTGCTGTGAGGCTTTGGAAAGGGACTTCATCTCCCCAAGGCTCCGTTTCCTCCTGCGAAGTTAGAATAGACCTGCTCCTGCTCTCGGGTGGATGAGTCCTCACTGCAAGGCACTTTCCATAGTGCCACCTACAGTCGACACTAAAAACCACAGCGACTGTTATTTCTCTGAAAATCAGATGAGATAATGTATTGCAAACTGCCCAAGATGCAGAGCGGGTGCTCAGGACAGGCAACCTCATTCTCTCACATGCAAGCAAGGCTTCGAGAAAGCTGCGAAGAGGAGGTGGCCGGGCCCTGGCTTGGCAGGAACTCGCCCATGAAAAAGTTTGCAAAGCTACAGATCCCTTTCCTTATGGAAGAGTCTTCACAGGCTAGAAGAAGGTCGATGAAGACCGTAGCAGGACCGGAACATGGTGATGACGTGGTTGCGGATGCAGTGAACACACCCGGCAACTCGGGGACGGAGGAGAGCCTGCCAGCCGGGAGCCAGGGCGCCAAGGAAGTGTGCTAGAGCACGAAGACGAGGTCGGGGGGGCTGCGCTGGGCTCCCTCCCACCCACTTCCAGGGGAGACAGCCCAAGCTTGGGGTGGCTCAGACATGGGAGGGTGTGGGGGGCTGGCAGAGGTGACTTGCTGTCCTATCTCTAGATACCCTTTCCTTCCCGGTGCGTCCCCAACATTAATCATGTTCAAAACATCATTAAGAGAGTTAGATGTCATCTACTGAATCTCAGCACCTTCAACAGTGATGAGAACAGAGAATGGAATGGGGACCCTCTGCCCCATGCCCAGCCACCCTTTCCTCCCTGCCCTCCCCCCATGCACCAGGGCCTGTGGCGTGCCCCTCGCCCCCAGAGCCTCCGGCTTCCCAGGCTGCACGATAGTCGGTGATGCTTAACCCGGGACCGAAGGAGGCAACAAGCGAGCACAAAGCTTGGAGTCCCCGCGGAGCAGCCTGGAGTCCCTTCCCGCTTCCTTCGTCACACTGGACAGCTGGGGCCCCTGGTTTCCTCCTCCCCTTCGGCCTACGTTTCTCTCACCCTTCAACCCGCTCAATTTGGGGAGGCTGTACCTCTACCCAGGTTACACTCTAAAGACCAATCCTAAAATAAGCAGCCGAGCAGAGTTCCCGAGTGGTGGTGTCCCCAGGCTTCCCTGAGGTGGTCTCAGAGCCAGGGCTCCCTGTCTTCCCTGCAGTGAGCGGGGAACGTGACCTGGAATAACAGCACCCAGCCGCGCTGGAGGGGAACACATCGCCCCAGCAGAGCAGCGGACAGGGAGCACCCAGCTCTGCGCAAGAGCTGATGTGCGAGAGCAGAGAGCCGGGGCCGCGATCGTGACGCGGACGTCACACCGACCGTGGACCTTCGCTCGTCAAAGCTGACCTAGTTCACAGTCAGAATGGGATTAGCAGCTTCCACCCAGCAACTCAGAGGGGCAGGCAGCCGGCAGCCGGCCTGTGGCTTTGCCCACTGGCCACGATGAAACAGCAGGAACGGTGACAGTCCAGACACTGCTCTCATACATCCCAGACCTACGCTGCCATGTTTTATGTAAAAATGAAAAAAGGAAAAAAAAGGAGTAAAACTAAAAAGAAGGAAGCAAAGACAGAGGTGAAGTCAGGGAAGTTAGGGAGGGTGAGCACCAAGATCATACTGCTCCCATTCCGTTTGGAAATACTGCCGAGTCCACAACAGCTAGGCAGCCCCAGAACCCCCTGGAAAATCCACAGCAAGCAGGTAATCAGATGAGGACATTTCAAATTCCATCACCCCAGACATCTCATCTCGTTGTCACACCCACACACATTCACAGGACACCCCCGATGGCACAGGTGGTTTTACATGATACCCAGACGGGCGATCAGATTTCTAGGAGCTTCTTCTTACACAAAAAGATGCTAAAAGGCAAGGAGAATGGGGGTATCGAAGGAAAATCCACGTTCAGGTTTATCTGTTTATAACTAGAAAATAGGTGTCCAGAGCCCCTCCCCATGAGATACAATTTCGGCACAATGAAAGAATTTCATTTCCCGTTTCTTCTGTTTCCAAGCCGACAAGCACCGTCTGTCTCTTTTCCACCACACGCGGTACAAATCCATAGCGTCCGCTTCCTCTTCATTCACGTAGGTCTCCTGATTTTTTAAAACATTTATAAAAAGTGTTCTCACTAATCTGAACTCTAGCAGTTCGAATCACTCCTGATTTTCCATCTACAACCTTCCCAATCGTTCTGCTCCCTCTCCGCCACCTCGTTCACTTGTCCTGCTGCACCTTCGAGAGGAACGCCGGTGTCAGATGAGAACTTCCATCATCTCCCCGTCGGGGAACTCGGGCTTGTGGAGCAAGCTGCTGACGCGGCCTTTGTGGTCAGGCGGCTTCCCATGGCCCGGAGAGTTCTCTGCAAACACAAGGCAGTGTCAGCAGCCCGCCCCCAGCAGGCGTCTCTCACACGGAACCGTTTCCAATACCCCACTCACACTGATGTGTGTACGAAAGGCCACCTAACCCGGCCTGCTGAGCCTAGCACATTCCCTGCCTCCTTGGAAAGTGCCTTCTGGAAATTAAATCTCAGAAAAAGACCCTTCTGTATATACTTGTCTGTTTTGTAGGATGAAAATAAAAAACTCCCTTGAAACAGTTAATTTATGCCCCCAACAACCCCAGCCCCTCCCAGGAATTCCTGGAGAGTGACCCCCACGACTAAGCTTAGTCCCCATGACAAAGCCAAGCCTGTCCCTTCCCCTGATGCTTCTGGACTCATCACAAGCTGTCTTCTCTTGCCCGTTTTCAAGTGACCCGTCAGTTCTGGCCTGAGCGAGGGGCCAGAGTCCCCTCCTCTGCAGTTAAACCTGCCTTCTCCTTAACAAATCCTTAAGAAGTGAGACCATGCCCTGGCTGGTTTGGCTCGGCGGTTGGAGCGTCGACCCGTGGACCAGAGAGTCCTGGGTTCGGTTCCCATTAAGAGCACGTACCTCATTTGCAGTTTGTCCCCAGCCCCAGTTGGGGTCGGGGGGGTGGGGTGGCGACCACTTGATGTGTCTCTCACATTGATGTTTCTCTCTCTCTCCCTCCCTCCACTCTATCTGAAGATAAATGTAAAAATGTCCTCAGGTGAGGATAAAAAAATTTTAAAAAAAAAGGAAGTAAGGCCATATCTGTGCGCTCCAGGCCTTGGTGCACCTGGTGCGGGGACCAGCTCCCCAACCTCCTCTGGAGCACACCCGTGGCCTCCCCTTGCAGGGAAGGGCTGGTCACAGAGCAGACTTTAGGAGGGGACCTCAGGGTGTGTACTCCTTCAAATGGAAATAAATTAGGAGTGTCTACACACATTTTACTCCTGTAAGAGCACACACAGCCTGCGTGCATTAGGGAAACCATAATCATAAAAACCCCACAAAGTGAGAGCTGACTGGTGATCCGCTCCCTCCGCAGCTCAGCAAAAGGCTCCCTCCCAGGCCAGACAGCTCCAGGGTGTTTTCTAGTGTAAAAGGAGATCCAGACGTACCCAGTTTCTCTGCTGTCCCTTTGGCCGCTGGGTGTTTCAGGACCGGGCTGTTGGAAGGGGTCGCGCTCAGCCGGCCACGACTGGGCAAGGAGGCCATGTTGGGCCAGAAGAGTTCAGTGCTCTTGTCCGTCTGGGTGCTGCTGTCCTTGCTGCCCGTCTTGGCGTGGGCGCTGCTGGCCGATGAGGCGGGCACCGGCGGGGCCAGGGCTGCGGCGGGAGCTGCGGGCAGGGCGGGGGTGGAGGTGTGCTCATGGTGCTCCTTCCCCAGCAGCAGCCCTGGGGAGGGAAGGGAGCTGTTTCAATGCCATTTTTTAAAACAAAACAACAAATCCGAGTCTTGGAGATAATTTCCTTCTTGAACTTTCAACAATAAAGATAATTTAAAAATATTTCCCTCTTGACTGAGGATTGTTTTATGCATTTACAAGCATTTATTATGTGCCTGATAGGTTGATAAGCACAGGAAGTTTAAACAAGGAAAATACCTCGTCCCCTCCCTGAACATTTCAGTTGTTTTTTAGGAGTTGTGAAGTAAACTTGTTATAATCGAATGTGATAAGTAGTAGGATAAATTATTCTCAAGTGGCATGAGGGGCGTAACGGCCAGTGTTGAGGGCTGGGGGCCCTCCTGCAAGACTTTCTAGAGTCGAAGCTTGCTCTTTCTAACATGCCGCGGGACGGCCGGCATTGGGCTGTGGTCGTGTGACGACCCCTGCACCAAGAGGTCGCCAGTTCGAGTCCTGGGCAGGGCACATGCCCCAGGTTTCGGGCCAATCCCCAGTGGGGGTATGTAGGAGGCAGCCGATCAATGTTCTCTCTCATCGATGTTTCTATCTCTCTCTCCCTCTCCCTTCCTCTCTCTCTAAAATCAATAAAGGAAACTATTTTTTTAAAAAGAAAAATTAAAGGTTTCCCTGGTTCTAGACATGGCCCTCCTGGCCTGCTGTGCTTCTGAATGGCCCACACTCCGATGGTCTCTCGCAGCGCCAGGCTCAAATACAACCTAGTTCCCAGGTGAGAATGACACCGAGGTGAGCACCTACTTCCTGCAAGAGCCCCCCCCCCCCCAGCGGAGAGCCACGCCCCGAGAAGTAGGGGACCAGCTGGGCTCCTGGAAGGAGCCACTGGGCAGGCAGGGGGCGGGGGAAGGGTGAGGGGGGCCTGCGGGGCGGGGCCTTCCCTCTTCCTCAGCGCCTTCCTGCAGAGCCAGACAGGAGAGCCACTTTTCATTTGTATTTATTTTTATTTTTTGCTAATCCTCACCTGAGGATATTTTTTCCATTGATTTTTAGAGAGAGTGGAATGGAGGGAGGGAAAGGGGAGAGAGAGAGAGAGAGAGAGAGAGAGAGAGAGAGAGAGAGAGAGAAACATCCACATAAGAGAGACAGACTGGTTGCCTCCCACACTTTCCCTGACCAGGGCTGGGGATCGAACCTGCAACCCTTTGGTGTGTGGGCCAATCCTCTAACCACCAGGCAACATCAGCCAGGGCACAACTTTTTAGCTTTAAATAATGAAATGTGGCGCCCATTCAGAAAAGCGTGAGCACTCAGAAACCATGGCCAGCACAATCCACTGTTCATGTATCTGAACCAGCCAGCAATTCATAAAGTATCCTCACCAGGGCTGTTGCAAGGTGCCCATTCATAACCCAACACAGAGCAATTCTGTTGGTCTGTAACTGCTTTTTAAATGTAATGTGCCTGTTGGTGACTTGGATGTAGTGTTAAAAGAAGATCTGGGCCTGAGACTCTGAGTCTCTGACGAGCTCCCAGGTAAGGCCGGCGATGTGGCTCACAGACCACAGTTCTAGTGGCCAGGCCCTCTGGCTGGGTGCTTTGCACACTATGCCACGGCTAAGAAGTGGTGGAAGTGGGATGCAAGCCCAGCTGTGCCTGACTTCAAGCCAACCTATGTTCTTCCCACCTAATCAGCTGCCTGTCAAAACGCTGCAGTCTGATAAGGATGTTGTGGAACTGTCGCCAGCCAGGCATCTCACTCTGGAGCCCCCAAGCCATCAGGAAGGTATACCCTGTCACTTCAACCTCCTTCCAGAGCCCGAGGCAGAGGGTGTGGGGACACGGTGGGAACTGGGCGCTGGCCCGTGAAGGTGCCTCTGCCTGGCCTCTCAGAGAGCCCCTCTGTTTTAGTGACACGTGGGCACCGATGACAATGCCTGTGGTGGGGGAATACAGTGCGGAGAACCCGGCGGTTTTTCCTGCAGCCTGGGTCTGGCTCCCAGGCGGTGTGGACATGCCAGATGCTAGGGGACACTGCCACAGACACCAGAAAAAGGGCTGAACGTCACAACCTGGCCGAGCACACTCAGACTCCTGGACTCCCAGGCGCTCTAACGGGGGAGTGGGGCTCAGCGTCCTGGGGAGGGCCTTTGATGATCCCAGCTGCTCTGCATGCACAGAGGCTTTGAAGTGCACTTCCTTGGAAGGCTGAGGCTGCCGAAGTGACCTGTGGAAGCACTTCAAACAGAGATTCGGGCTGGGTGCCTTTGATCCTCGACTCTGTCAGGTTCATACCGGAAGCTCTTATCCCCTTTGGCACGAAGCAGCCGGGCTCCTCTGGGGTTCTGTGCTGACAAAAACTGGCTCTTGGCTCTGGATAAGCAAAACACACTCTGACCCAGGGACATGCATCAAAGGCGGGCCAGATCCTGGAGCTGCCAGTGTGTGGGGAGAGGGGCCAGGGGAGGGGAGGGACGTGTGTCTGAGAACGCTGCCTGCTTCCTCTCCAGATTCAGTGAGCCGTCAGCAGGCCGGCCGCCCCAGGAGACCCATTCGGGGCTAACACCACATCTGCACAATTCTCCAAATTCTGTCTGTGCAACAAGACAAGAACCACGACCACCAACCTCTCACGCCCAAGCCACTTCTTCCAAAGTGAGTCCACCCCCCTCTCTCACCTCGCCCTCACCACGGCCCAGGGCCATGTGTCCGCCCCCCTCTCTCACCTGGCCTTGACCACGGCCCAGGGCCATGCGTCTGCCCCCTCTCTCACCTGGCCCTCACCACAGCCCAGGGCCATGCGTCTGCCCCCTCTCTCACCTGGCCTTGACCACGGCCCAGGGCCATGCGTCTGCCCCCTCTCTCACCTGGCCCTCACCACAGCCCAGGGCCATGCGTCTGCCCCCCTCTCTCACCTCGCCCTCACCACAGCCCAGGGCCATGCGTCTGCCCCCCTCTCTCACCTGGCCCTCACCACGGCCCAGGGCCATGCGTCCGCCCCCTCTCTCACCTCGCCCTCACCACGGCCCAGGGCCATGCGTCTGCCCCCTCTCTCACCTGGCCCTCACCACAGCCCAGGGCCATGCGTCTGCCCCCTCTCTCACCTGGCCCTCACCACGGCCCAGGGCCATGTGTCCGCCCCCCTCTCTCACCTGGCCCTGACCACGGCCCAGGGCCATGCGTCTGCCCCCTCTCTCACCTGGCCCTCACCACAGCCCAGGGCCATGCGTCTGCCCCCTCTCTCACCTGGCCCTCACCACGGCCCAGGGCCATGCGTCTGCCCCCTCTCTCACCTGGCCCTCACCACAGCCCAGGGCCATGCGTCTGCCCCCTCTCTCACCTGGCCCTCACCACAGCCCAGGGCCATGCGTCTGCCCCCCTCTCTCACCTGGCCCTCACCACGGCCCAGGGCCATGTGTCCGCCCCCCTCTCTCACCTGGCCCTGACCACGGCCCAGGGCCATGCGTCTGCCCCCTCTCTCACCTGGCCCTCACCACAGCCCAGGGCCATGCGTCTGCCCCCTCTCTCACCTGGCCCTCACCACGGCCCAGGGCCATGTGTCCGCCCCCCTCTCTCACCTGGCCCTGACCACGGCCAGGGCCATGCGTCTGCCCCCTCTCCTCACCTGGCCTCACCACAGCCCAGGGCCATGCGTCTGCCCCCTCTCTCACCTGGCCCTCACCACAGCCCAGGGCCATGCGTCTGCCCCCTCTCTCACCTGGCCCTCACCACGGCCCAGGGCCATGCGTCCGCCCCCTCTCTCACCTCGCCCTCACCACAGCCCAGGGCCATGCTCTGCCCCCTCTCTCACCTGGCCCTCACCACGGCCCAGGGCCATGTGTCCGCCCCCTCTCTCACCTGGCCCTGACCACGGCCCGGGCCATGCGTCTGCCCCCTCTCTCACCTGCCCTCACCACAGGCCCAGGGCCATGCGTCTGCCCCCTCTCTCACCTGGCCCTCACCACGGCCCAGGGCCATGCGTCTGCCCCCTCTCTCACCTGGCCCTCACCACGGCCCAGGGCCATGCGTCTGCCCCCTCTCTCACCTGGCCCTCACCACAGGCCCAGGGCCATGCGTCTGCCCCCTCTCTCACCTGGCCCTCACACAGGCCCAGGGCCATGCGTCTGCCCCCCTCTCTCACCTGGCCCTCACCGCGGCCCAGGGCCATGCGTCTGCCCCCCTCTCTCACCTCGCCCTCACCACGGCCCAGGGCCATGCGTCTGCCCCCTCTCTCACCTGACCCTCACCACAGCCCAGGGCCATGCGTCTGCCCCCCTCTCTCACCTGGCCCTCACCGCGGCCCAGGGCCATGCGTCTGCCCCCCTCTCTCACCTCGCCCTCACCGTGGCCCAGGGCCATGCGTCTGCCCCCCTCTCTCACCTCGCCCTCGCCACGGCCCAGGGCCATGTGTCCGCCCCCCTCTCTCACCTGGCCTTGACCACGGCCCAGGGCCATGCGTCTGCCCCCTCTCTCACCTGGCCCTCACCACAGCCCAGGGCCATGCGTCTGCCCCCTCTCTCACCTGGCCCTCACCACGGCCCAGGGCCATGTGTCCGCCCCCCTCTCTCACCTGGCCCTGACCACGGCCCAGGGCCATGCGTCTGCCCCCTCTCTCACCTGGCCCTCACCACAGCCCAGGGCCATGCGTCTGCCCCCTCTCTCACCTGGCCTTGACCACGGCCCAGGGCCATGCGTCTGCCCCCTCTCTCACCTGGCCCTCACCACAGCCCAGGGCCATGCGTCTGCCCCCTCTCTCACCTGGCCCTCACCACAGCCCAGGGCCATGCGTCTGCCCCCCTCTCTCACCTCGCCCTCACCGCGGCCCAGGGCCATGCGTCTGCCCCCTCTCTCACCTCGCCCTCACCGCGGCCCAGGGCCATGCGTCTGCCCCCCCTCTCTCACCTCGCCCTCACCACGGCCCAGGGCCATGCGTCTGCCCCCCTCTCTCACCTCGCCCTCACCGCGGCCCAGGGCCATGCGTCTGCCCCCCTCTCTCACCTCGCCCTCACCGCGGCCCAGGGCCATGCGTCTGCCCCCCTCTCTCACCTCGCCCTCACCGCGGCCCAGGGCCATGCGTCTGCCCCCCTCTCTCACCTCGCCCTCGCCACGGCCCAGGGCCATGCGTCTGCCCCCCTCTCTCACCTTGCCCTCGCCACGGCCCAGGGGCCACAGGACAGACACTGCCTTCATTTTGAGGCTCAGAAGCAGAGGTGGAACAGTCTTACGGCTGGTCTGGGGCAGGGCTTTTCCTATAAGAACACTTTATGTTGTCAGGGTCAGTCACTTTCACTTTCAACGATGATGATAATACATGAGTCAACCCATGGCTAATAGCCAACCTGGTGGTATAGCCTCTGTTTCCACATAGCTCGTTCAATTTTCACCACCCAAGTGTGATGACTGACCCTCCCCATTTCACCGAAGAGTAAACTGAGACGAGTCAGCAGCATGTCTGTGTCCCACGGGGGACAGAGCCAGACACCACAGAAGTGTCAGGACTGTCCACCAGATGAGGCTGCCTCTCAGTGCCTCCCAGACGCGACCCTGGAGGAGGCGTGGGCTCACCTATGCTCCCCTTCCAGGTCCTCTCTTCCTTCCTCTCCTCAGCCAGCTGGCTGCTGGTGAGCGAGGTCTGGCGGGAGTGTGTCCCGGTGGCCGCGGCAATGGAAGGGACGGAGCGGGCCGGCCGCAGGCTGGACGAGTCCGTCTTCCCGGCATCTTTACGGGATCGCTGCTGAAGGACCTTAATCATAGCATCCTTCTCTATGATTTTGGCATGGAGATTTTTAATGCTGTGTAACAAAACCAAACAAAACTCAGAATCATTCGCCATTTGACTAGGAAAACTCAAACTGTTTTTCTCTCAGGCTGCCCCAGGGACTTCGATTAGAATTCAGGATGGAGAATGAAGTGCGGTCAAGTCCTCAAACATCTGTAATCTGCAAACTGTGTAAGATGGGTCTTTTGGCCCTGGCCAGTGTGGTTCAGTGGTTAGAGCATCAGCCCATGGACTGAAGGGTCACAGGTTCGATCCCTGGCCCTGATTGAGGTCATGTGGGAGGCAACCAGTCAATGTGTCTCTCTCACATCAATGTTTCTCTCTCTCTTTCCCTCCCTCTCTTCCACTCTCTTAAAAATAAATGGAAAGCCCTGGCCAGTTTGGCTCAGCGGTTAGAGCGTCGGCCTGCGGTCCGGAGAGACCCGGGTTCGGTTCCCGCTAAGGGCACGTACCTCGGTTGCAGTTTGTCCCCGGCCCTGGTTGGTCGTGCGGGTGGCAGCCACTTGATGTGTCCCTTCACGTCGATGTTTCTCACTCTCTCTCCCTTCCTCTCTCTCCCTCCCACTCTATCTGTACAAAAAATGGAAAAATATCCTCGGGTGAGGAAAAAATAAATAAATAAATAAATAAATAAATGGAAAAATATCCTCCGGTGAGGATTAACAACAACAAAGATGGATCTTTTGTAGTAGATCGAAAGATCTACTGGCCCCTCGGAGACTCTGGGACTGCCTGGGAACCCGGGGACACAGGGTGGAATGACTGCAGCCCCGGAGCGGGGGCTCGGGGGCCAGCTCAGAGGCTCCAGGACCCCTGGCTCTCGGCGGGGGAGCAGCAGGAAGCACGGGAACTCTGGGCCCTCACGCAGGATCGGCTTTCCACAAAGTCAATTTCAATTAGAAGATGAACAGATTTTCTGGGAGAGGATAATTTTTCCATCCAAAGCCAAAAATAAGAATCAGAAAACACTTGAGTTTTCAGACTCGGAGAGTAACTCGCTGAGCCTCTCAGCTGTGCAGAGCAGGGAGCTGGAGTGAGCACATGCTGGTCTTTGGGGTCTTGAGCTGCGTGGCCAGGGCGGGGGCCGGTGTCGCAGCCGCACACACGGCTGTCCCTTACGTGTATTCCATGTCCTGACACCTCCTGGTGGCCTGCACCACCTCCTCCTCCTCCTGCCAGAGGTGGGCCTCCAGAGAGCCCTCGCCGTAGCTGCCGTTCCTCGAGTGGTTGATGATCGTGGTGTCCCTGGCAACACAGGACACACAGAGGGTGATGCGGACGCTCACGGGAGGCGTGCGAGGCACCACAGGAAACATCTCTCCACAAACGCCGTCACGCTCTTTCCCTCCTAAATCCCGGCCAATTCTCTCCCTCAACTTGATAGAATTAAGACTGTATCTAAGAAAAACAAAATAAAATCCAAAAGTAACAATTCCCTGCCCCTTCAACAAATGACACTGTATATTAAGCTATGTACACGCTATGAATACGGACACTGTGACTTGTAGATACTATTATTATATTTGTTAGTGTTTCTTTTTCACACTTACTTATCCTTTCTGACTTTCTCAGTCAGAGTTCAGGTTTCATTTCTACTCCTCACCTACAGAGCAGCTATTTCAGTACTTTACAGTAAAATGGAGAGTTAGTAAGTACTAGAAACTGATCCCGGTCCTCTGGGACACAGAGGTTCCAGCTGAATTCTTCCCTCATATTTGCATCCTAGCTCAGTCACTTCTCGTCTATGGGCCCCGGCCTGGGATTCAGGTCCACTCAGAGTGACGCCACCCTGCCCTTGGGAAGTCCAGTGCAGGGGGTGGTGTACAGGGAGCGACACACACAGGCAGACTGAGATGCAGCAGAGCTGCGAGCAGGGGTCTGATGGAGAACAACTGGTCAAGGAGAACTCTCCCTGCCACTGGCTGTGGCAGTGTAATCTCTCGTAGTTACAACGGCTGGTAAAAACAAGGCAACTGCACCATCTACGTGATCGAAGCAATGTTGGGCTGCAAGGCACTGATGTCTCTGATCAGTGAATACTACATGAATAAGTAATGGCCCTAGCCAGGGGGCTCGTTGGCTGGAGCATGGTCCTGTACACCAAAAGGTTATGGGTTTGATCCCCAGTCGGGGTGTGTAAGGAAGGCAACCAATCGATCTTTCTCTCACATTTATGTCTCTCTCTCCCCTCTCTCCATGTCCTCAGGTGAGGATTAAAAAAAAAAAGCTACTTCTTTAAAATAAAATCAATAAAAACATATCCTCAGGTGAGAATTAAAAATAATTACTAAGAAATGATCTAGCCAAATATTTCATATTCCATTGCTACAGTAATATTTAAAAGTGCACAGCTCTTTTCTAGAACACTCAAAAACAGCAAAAAAAAAAAGTTCTATTTTACCCTTTTTAACAATAGCTCTCAATGAAGGAGCATTTCTTTCATGCTGGTGACTGGTTAAAGCAGGTCACAATGGCATCCCGTTTAGTTCTCATAGCAACTTGTGCAGGTGACTTTGCAAGGACACCCAGTTAGCGAAGAGGGAAATGAACTCTAATCCAGATATTTATTAACTCCCCAATGTCCACAACCCTCATGCACACTCCGGAAGTTTCCTGCATTTTTATGAAGAAGGCCTTGGCAAAGATGCACATAGACAAAATAAACCAGCGGAGTGGGCACATGTGAGAACGTGGCTTAAGTGCAAGTTGTGGCTGAAAGTAAGTCCCGAAGCCCAGTAATGCAGAAAACAAGTAAAATGCTTTAAACATACTGGCAAAAAAACATAAATTCACTCTATGGAGCACAAAAAACATCAATACAGGAATTGGTGGCTGCAGAAACATTGTTCAACCCATTCACTTTTGGAGAATTCATGCATTTACAGAAACCAATTTAAAAAATCACGTTACACTGCCAAGTAAGGACAGCAGGCACAATAAGACAAAAACGACCTAGAAGGATAATACAAAAGGTTCTCAAAAAAAATATTACATTGCTTTGAAATCTGTAAAAAGTTTCAAAACCGTAAAAAATAGGCCAACCTCTCAAATTTCTGATCGATGGTGCCAAATGCACCAAGATGGCAAAATCAGCTGGTGTACAAAAATTGTTTCCTTTGTTTAAAAAGCACTGCTTATAAACATGAAGCATTCATCAGTGGCTGAAAAGACACAAAACGAATGACTAGAAATGCTCATTTTTACCAATACATATGCAGCCATTTAGCATCTAGACAAGAGCTCAGAATTTTGACCTTTCTCAAAAATCTTTCTTTCAACAGAAAAGCAATGTTGAAATTACAGAGGTTTTCTTTGAAAAGAACATTAAGATTGGAGCTAAAAACCTGATTTTTCATGAGACAGTGGGAAGGAGTAGTCAGAAGGGGGAGGGCAGTTTTCCACAGAATTATTAGATGCTCAATAAGCACTTGTGGAGCCCTAGCCAGCTTGGCTCAGCGGTTAGAACGTCGGCCCGCAGACCAGAGAGTCCCGGGTTCGGTTCCCGCTAAGGGCATGTACCTCGGTTGCAGTTTGTCCCTGGCCCCGGTTGGGGTCGTGTGGGTGGCAACCAGTCGATGTGTCTCTCTCACAGCGATGCCCCCCCACCCCCTTCCTGCTCTATCTGAAGATAAATGCAAAAAAATGTCCTCGGGTGAGAATAAAAAAATAAAATAAAATAAAATAAAAGTAAATAAATAAACACTCGTGGAAGCAAAGGGCGAGGGAGGAGTGGTGGACAGGGCCTCGTCCCACCCGTCCTGTTCTCTGAGGGCAGAAACGGTGCCCTCGCATGAAGGATGGCGAACAAGGCTGGCCTAGCAGAGTGTGAATGGCTGCTGGTCTGTCCGGTTCTACTCACGCCACCACCACCTCCCTCCCATGCCCCTCGCCCCTGCTCCCTGTCAAGCTCTCCTGCTGCAGACCTGTTCAATCCCCTACTTCTGATTTTACATTCCAGTCCCGCTGGTCCTCTCAGGGCCCAGGATCCCGAACATGCACCTGATCTGATAAACCAATAGCTGCCGACACAACAAGGACACACAGGCCCCTGGGTCGTGCTTCCAAAGTAGCACCTCTACACTGGGACTGGGCTTCTGTGTCCTCAGACAGTGAACCGGGTCTGGTTCTCTGCTTGCAACCAGCCAAGAATTCTAATTTCCACTTCAGAAATGACATTCCACTTCAGAGCGACATTCAGAAAGGCTTTTGCAGAATCAGAGAAGCTGGGAAGCCTTGAGTGTGGAAGTCCTGCGTCCGTCCCTCTGCAGTGTTCTCTCGTGACTCCTCACAGGGCCGCCCAATGCCACGCCCTTCCTAGACCAAAGCTGGCAAAGAAGGCCACCCCCTTTGTGACTTTACGATGGTTTGTTCTCGTCCTCAGGATAGACAGGTGATCTACTTTATCACCTTACAAAGCAAATAGTTGAAAATAAAAATGTTTCAATTATGTAAATATCCAGAAATAATTTCCAAGGGCTTCAGTGTTCTCACCCTTACGGTACAAAACTGAATGGAGGCTGCGACTTCTCCAGTGCTCCCACCACGACCGCAGCTGCCACACACAGTGCACGTCGCAAACATCACTCCCACTCCCAGAGGCTCTCTCGGATGGGTGCCGCGGGCGGTTTCCCCTCAGAGCACAGACGTGCAGAAACAACACCAAGCACGTCCCCAAATGGCCATCTGCGCAAGAGTCTGCAGGCCTCTCCCGGCGCAAGTGTGCCGTGGCACCCAGAGGAGGCTTCTACGCCCACATGGGTGGCACTGCTCGCTCCAAGTTCCCAGCAGCAGGGGAGCGTGCTGCTAGCGATTCTTCCAGGGCCCACCAATGGCTTGCAAAGCATCCCGTCTCTACCCCAATGGGCCTTCTCTTCCTCATTAAAGAAGTAACACACCCCAAGAGACGTGGGACTGTCTCGCCCAGTGTTGTGGATGCACCTTGGAAATTTGAGGATCGCCTCCAAACAGACTGACCCTGATCTTAGTGAATTCCAAACAACTCCGAATTAAATGCCCCATATAACTTACGGGCCCAAAGCAAGCTGGTGGGGGGGGGGGAGCGGCAGCGAGAGCCCGGCTGGGGGAACGCGCAGCCGCGCCAGCGATCAAGGGACGGCCTGCTCACTCAGACAACAGGAGAGTCACGGGATTCTTTTGTGAATTACTGAACACACTGAGCCAATTCTGAAAAGAAGAATAAGGTTGTGCAGCTACTAGAAGGAAAGAAAGCAGCAGAGGTCATAACAGACAGCAGCACAAAACAACGTCAAGCCAAGTGAACTCCGGCTTGAAGTCAGACAAGTTTCACTTCGACGCGCGGTCCCACCGCCGGTGAGCAGTGGGATCTGGAATAAACCGCGGCCCCTCTCTAAGCCTCATCTGTGCACCTGCCAAAATGAGGATAATATAGTTCCTCCTCTCAGGGCTGTTACGAGGATCAACCATTCATCCTGCCTGGCCTGTGCCATGCACCGCTGCTGAAGACCACTGTGCGGATGCACTTGACGTAACCGAATGAAACCCCCTTGCTGGCCTCCGGGCTGGTCTCACCTCTCGACTGCGGCGGTGGCTGCGGCGTTCATGGCGAAGTGCCGGATGGTGCTCTCCTCCAGATACTTCTGCTCCCACTTAGTCATGTCGGCCTCCAGGGCCAGGATGCGCTCCTCCTTCTCCCTCACGAGTTCCATGAGGGCCGGGGCGTTGTATTCCGGCATGCTGGCTGGCGGGCCGTTTCCATGTTTCTGGAGAAGTGGGAGAGAAAACATCTTGATGCTGAACGGGGGCTAAAAGTAGACCACACAAACCGTGTCTGCAGGGTTCCACCCGTGGCACACACGTGGTCCACCCAGACCCTCGGCACATTCACACATCATCATCACACTCCTGCCCTCTCCAGTATGGATGACCAAACCCAGAGGATCCTAACACCAAGCCACCCACCTACTGAATCCTCTAGTAGACAATATTATCCCAGTTTTATAGATGAAAATACTAAGCTCCTGCGAGGTTAAATGAGCTGCTCCGTGTCTCTGAGCTATAGCAGAGTCAGGATTCAAAGCCGGGTCTGTCTGTCCACACAGCTCTGAATGACAAGCAGCAGCTTGTCCCATGTCCTGCAGTTAACTCACACCAAAAGCAAGAACAGAGCTAAGTCTTGGCCTCCGGGTCTAGGCCACTTTCTCCAGAGTTCATGGAAATGATTCAGCTGTTTGTTTTCCCCGGGGCTGGGGGTTAAAATGCAAAGGGGCCAAGGAACTGGGAGTGAGAAGCCCTAACGTGTGCTCTTCTGGCTGCAATGGTCTCACTTGGGAAGCAGAGAAATTAATACCTGCCCCACTTAGAAGCCTGAGAATCAACTAAATTAAGCATATGAAAGCATTTAATAAACTTGAAAGAGCTTCACAAAGTAAAGTGCTACCAGAAATCCTCTCAGCCCTTTCTTTGCACCCGTGTCTGTAAGACAGGAAATAAAGCGAACGTGTTATCTGGACTGCTCACAAGTGGAAGACCTTCACATTTCAGACCCCCCAGCTCAGGCGTACCACCTCCTCTGAACAGCATGCCTGGGAGGATGATGGGGTTTGAAGAAGTTCTGACTTTAGGGAGAATGACTTCATCCCAGCTGTTCTATGTCCCCTCATATTCTCCAGTAGTCACAAATTTTAGATGCAGAATTGGTTGCAAGGTGAGAGGTTTACCCTGAACCACAGAAACTACCTAGGACAATAGCTGGGCATTTGAGCTGCCCTGATGGAAACTAATCCTACCAGAGGAAAGAGAGCAAATGGGCCCATGGGCTTTTGTAAACCATATGTTTGCATTCAATTTTTTAAAAAATTTTCTTTATTGATTTTAGAGAGAGAGACAGAAACATCGATGAGAGAGAACATCGACTGGCCGCCTCCTACATGCCCCCCACTGGGGATTGGGCCCACAACCTGGGCATGTGCCCTGACCAGGAATCGAACCGGTGACCTCTTGGTGCATGGGTCAACGCTCAATCACCAAGCCACACCAGCCGGGCTGCCTTCAATTTTTTTAAAGCTACAAATACAAATGATTCCAGGATCTTGCCAGTGACCAACATTTAATCAAGAATAGAGGGAAGGCACACACCTGTCCTCATCAACCTATACAGGAAGTTACTGACTCCCCGCTAGCACCTGGCCTCAGGCAGGAGGACGTCAGGTCCATCAAGATGGACTTAGAAACGGTCCAAGAAAAAGATCCCACAGCCTCGATAAGCTGCCATCCACACTGTTCGATTTCTATCTAAATCCTAACGTTGCCACCTCAGCTGGCTTATTTTTGCAGAATCCTTTTGACCTCACATGAAATCATGACAGTTCTTCATGGAGCACCCAGTTCAGGTCATTAAGAACTATTAAATAAAAGCATGAATTTCAACACTCCAGCACACAGACACAGCAAGCTCTAACAGGTAAGCATGCCAGCCAGAAAAGCAGGCTGGGGCCGGGCAGGCCAGCTTCTGCTGCCCGTTCAGTTGGTCAACAAATATTTACTGAACAGATACCATGTGCTGGGGTTAGCACAGTGAACACTTTTCTGTCACCTTTTTTTTTTTTAGTGGGACTGGAAAAGCTGGAGTAAGGAAGGAATTTAGGAGCGGGTACCAAGGACGCCCTAGGCCTTCAAGTGACTCTGAAGGTTATGATGATGATAAGAACAGCAATGATAGTTATTCTTTCTCAATCCATCACTAAGTGCCAGGCACTGTGTAAGCACTCTGTGCAGATTTTCTGGCTTGTAATTACAAGTATAAGGTAAGCATAATTTATTTGCCCCATTTTAGAGACAAGGAAGTTGAGGCTCAGAAAACGTACTTACCTAAGAGTACTTTTCTAGTAGGAGAAGCAGGCAGAAGGCAACCTTGGTCGGTCTAACCCCAGAGTCATGCTGTGAATCAAGTCACAATTCCATGCCACTCGGCTCGACTCCAACCTACCCCCCTGCGGGTTCCGGGGCACCTGGCAGGACGAACGCAGCTCGCTTGGGGCTCTGGGTTAGGGTCTGGCTGGAGAAGTCGGCTGTGTCCTGCGTCAGTCCAAGGGCAGAGCCCCTGCGTGGGGTGTTGATTGAGTAAGTGCCCTGAGCTACACTCTCAACAGCCTTCGCAAAGTGGCTTGCTGAGGGGATGTGACCAGGAGCTCTGCTACAGTGACCTCAGTGTGACCGTCCTGCAGGCACACGCACGCGCTGCTGCAGAGGGCACGGGAGGAGGCCGCCCGGAGCCCCCGGGGCACCCTGCCCGGAAAGGCTGAGCTTCTCAGGTGACCCACGCTCTCCAGGGGACCGGGGTGGACTCCGGTCCTCCTGCTGAGGGCCAGCAGGCCTGGGCTCCCCACATCAGTCCACGGGCTCCCGTAGGAGTCTGACCAAACTTCACAGCATCTATCACATGGAACCAGTGAGAAACTCAGGGTTCTTGGGTGAACGTATTTGTAAAATAATTTTACCTTTTTTGGTTAAAGAATGTACATCCACTGGCAAAATGATAGAATAAAGAGGTAATAAAGGAAAAAATAAAAAATAATACTCATCTTTTTAATGAGTAGGCAGAACAACAGGGAAATTCTTATCATAGGAGACAGATTAACACACTCATTTAGAAAAATTATAATATTATTTTTAGAGAGATGCCGAGTTAAACACTTCTGTGTAACTGTAAAGACTGTCTCCCCTCTTTTGGGTCTCATGTCAGCCATAAACAGCTGGGGTTCTGCTGTCGGCCCCCCAAACTAAGTCCAAAATGCAAGCGGAGTCCTTTCCCGGGAGGGCCTCAGTTCTGGGTCCTCGGGCCCCGAGGTACGCTAAGTCCGCCAGCCGCCTGTGTGCGCAGCAGGGACGTCGTTCCCGCCGCTGTGAGGACCTCAGGGCGTGAGTGTGAGGCTCTGAGTGTGCACACTGTGAATGGGCCCCTGTGGCGACAGATATTTCGAATAGTTCTAACTTAATATTTCTTCTCGGTACACAGCAAGGATAACGGAGTCTGGTTTCACAGCCCTTGAAACAGAAGGTCCCAGGGTAAGTCATCTCCCTGCGGGGGTGGTGACACAGGACTGGGAGCACACATCCTGTCCTGTGCTAGCACTGAGAGGGCCTGCTTTGTGAGCCGAGGTCCTATCACCAGTGCCAGGGCGGAGAAGCCTGGCCTCCAGCTGGGGAGGCTCCGCTCAGTCACGGACGGCAGGGAACAGCTGGAGGGCGGACCACAGTGCCAGGGAGGTGGCACAGGGTGGAAGGAGAAGTCCAGAGACGGACTCACCCTTCCTGACGAGCCATCAGCGCAGCCCCGAGGATGGGCGGCCCAGTGGATTTCCTACCGTTCTGGGCAATCTCACTGACACCTCCTTCTCCAGCCAGTCCACACGCCCGGCGGGGGCCGCGGGCGCCTGCCATGAGCAAGGCTGGGCTGGCCCGCGTGTACGCTTTCAAGTGTTTTCAAGTGTTTCAACCACAACCACTGTGCCCTCTCCAGCAGATAATTCCACGGAGCTGTCTCGCATTCCCCTGGTTCCCGACACAAGGCACACCCTTCATCAGCTGCAGAGAGGGCTCTGCCCACCACCCTGGCCGATGGCACACGAGCCGGGCGCTCTCTGGAGCCAGGAGTCTGACCGGCCAGGGTGGATCCCAGTCCGGCCACAGAGCCATCCTTGCTGAGGTGCGCGGGTCTGGGCTGGGTGTTCTACTCTGAGCTTATTCGTAGCTGAGTTACATTAACATCTGTTACCAGGATAAAGACGAGGCCGAAGGATTATGGCCGACATTGTCCTCCGGGACAGTCCTGAACGCCTTCCTCTCCTTCACCTCCGTAGACGCACTGATGATCAGTCCTACTATCTCACCTCCTGCGGGCTCCCCCACGGTCTCCACTGTCACTACAGCCTGCAGGACAGGAACAGCCTTCGGGCAGGCCTCCCTCACTTAGCCATCTGCCCCTCCAGACCGCCCCGCACCACCAGAGGGCTCTTTCCTCAACCCTTTGTACCATAGTCCTCTCCAGCTTGAAAACCCTAGTCGTTGGCTCAGTTGATTACAGCAAAAAGTCCAGTCTCTCAACCTGACCAAACGCCGTCCACAGCTGCCCCCCCCCCCACCAGGGCCTCACTGGGCACTCTCCCCAACCAGCTGCGCCCAGCGTCCCGCACCTGCCTCTCTCCTTTACACACACTTCCTCCACCTCAGGTGTTCTTCCCCAGAACTCCCAACAAGCTCATCTTCAAAGTCCACTCAGATGTCCTCCTTTGTGAAGCTGTTGAAAGCCACAGTCCCTGACACCCAGCCCCCAGGGTCACCACGTTCTGTAGGATGTCCAGGGGACTACCTGGTTCCTCCGGGGCCGCTGTTGGTCCTCTGGGACAGGAGTTTCCTTGTCCTCCCATCCTCAGTGCAGACAGCAGAGCCTGGTGCACTCTGCTGTCTGCGGCCCCTCCCCGCCCCTCACCTGCTGGGTTCTCAGGGCATCCAGCTCTCTCTCCAGCCAGGTCCGAAGTCTCCGCTCCATCTGCTCTCGCTTCTCACATGCGGACTGCAGCTGGGTCAGGGCCTGCTGCAGCTTCTCCACCTTCTCGACATAGGCTTGCTTCTCTCGCAACTGCGCAGAGGAGAGAGACGAGCGCAGAAGTGAGACCAGTGCTTCTCAACATGGGGTGGAGGTGGAGGCCAGATTACCTAGAGACTCGACTTACACTACCAGTGTATGTACCCTCCCCACTCCTGCCGCTCACGTGTGCTGGGACAGGCAGAAAGGGTTTGGACGCGGCCACCAGTCACACCTAACCTCGGGGATGCTGGGGATTGAAGACCCTACTGGAGCACCTGCCTTAGTTATTTGTAGTAGAGCTAAGCTCAATCCTTGGTTACTACTTAGTAATTACTGCATTTGCTGGGGTTGGAAATGGGGTTCGGAGTTTTTAGTGTCATGAGGAAATGCTTATTCTATAATGTTAACTGAAAAAATTCAGAATAAAAAAAATTATATAATTATCACAACTCTATCTATGAAAGAAAAAAGACTAAAAGGAAATACTTAAAAGCATTAACCATGTTGACCTATATGGCTGAAGAGTCATTTCTCATCTTTATTCTCTTCTGTATTTTTCAAATTTTCCATAATATTATAAATTACAATTACGAGAGAATTGTGCGTGTGTTTATATGCATGTGTAGCCATGTGTATGTGTAGGTTTCTTATTCTAGATATTTGTGGAGTAACTTTCTCTAAAGGTTTGAGCCTTTACAGACAAGCAGCCCTGAAGAGGCAGGAAGGGCACAGTGAACCCTCAACACGATCACCGAGGAGACGGAAATGAAGGTGAAAATGATTCATGTAAATGTCACTTCCAGTGTGGACCGAGAATCCCGAAGCACAACTCAAATTCCTACCCTCGGACTTCGCTTTCTACCAGCTGGGTGTCTGGGCCATGGTCATGAGTCCTAGGTACACTCCTAACTTTCTGGGAAGTGGCTGGTGCCCAAAATCAGGCCAAGGCACTTACTTATCTGGTCCTGAGTGGGAAGCCACTGGGTGCTTTTCCCTGTCATTCTGCGTCCGGGTGCGCACATGCCCTGGGGGTGGCTCGGATGCTGGGTCAACCCGTGACTCACTGGCAAGTGGGGACCTGCTCGTGAGCTGAGAGCCTGCCGTGCAGAATGGTGCTGCCTTAGCAGGCTGCACTGTCGTGGCTGTACCTGTACCCTAGCCAAAGCCACTGGAATAAAATGGGGGTGCTTCTGATCTTTGGCCGAGGGGTGGGAAAAACAGCAACATCACAGCCTTTTTTATACCCCATCTCGGGATTAATGTTCATCTGGCTCTTCCATGCATTGTGCTTTTGATGGCTTGATTCAATTTGATAGGCACCCGAGGACCCGCTAACTGCAGGCCTGTTCTAAGCACCTCTTCTGGTCGAATATCTCGTGAGCACTATTCATATACCACTTAACATGTCCTCGACTGTATGCAATGTTCTAAGTGTAGGCACTAAGAGAATTTTGGTCCCCGCTGGGCAGAGTGCACTGTGTGTCCCCAATGCCCGGGACAGTACCTAGCATCCAGTAGGTACTCAATAAATACTTAGTAAATGGTTGAATGAGCATTATACCTAATCAGCTGCAAGATTCTTCATTTATCTTTGTATCGCCCTTAAGTCTAGCAAGGAGTATATTATGATGAAGATTAATAATAATAATTATATCAGCCAACTGTCATGCCACGCTTTGTGCTTTATATGTAGTATATAAAGTATCGCACATATGTAGTATTGCATTTAATCCTCCCAATAACAGTGAAAGGCGAACTACTTTATTATCTCCATTTAAGAGATGAGGAAACTGAGGACTACGGAGGTTAAGTGACTGCTGAAGGTCACACAGCTGATACATCCGTCCTGGGGTCACAGTTCTAACTCACAGTGGTCTGGCTCCAGAGTCCAGACTCTTACCCATCCTGGGGAGTTATGGTAAACACATGACATGAGCCATCTGGACTGAATGAGGCCCTTCAAAAGGAACTTTTAATAAAAACAAGGACTGGAAGTCAGACACATGACACATTTCGGAGAGGCTCCACACAATCTAAGACCTTATAAAATATAATGACAAGAGAAGACCCACAATGGTGGTCACAGGAACCTGTCTCGAAGGAGTTCACAGCTTTTACTTTCATAGAAATATTACAACAAAAAGATTAAAAATCTTATAACTTTCCTTCCTTTTACACACAGAGAAAGGGCCTTGAAATAAGTGATTTCAGTTATAACAATAATACGGGGTCCTGGCCTCGAAGCAGATCCCCGTCCTGCAAGGGCAAAGGTCACTTTCTGTGGCACATGTCCTATGTGATGAGTTCCTCAGTGGTGACAAGGAGGACCCTCTGGGCTGTAGCCCCGCGACGGCTCATGTGCTCCTACACGGGACTTACGGTGTTTAAAAGACTTCTCAAGACAAGCCCTTGTAGACTGAAAAACTTCCCCTTTAGCTGCTTTAACCTGGAAGCTGAAGTTTGCTGAGACGCTGAGTCACCCGGCACCAGAGGTGTTTGCTGCAGGAACAGCTTTTCATTTCCAGCCACAGCAGCGACAGCTGGATCATAACAGGACTGATCTCTGCACGCAGGACACGGCGACGCGCTCTGCAGACCATCTGGGCCGTGCGTCTCCCAGACGTAGGGCTCCTTCCCACATGGCTCCGCCGGCCTGGCCAGCCCTCCCCTCCCTTCCTGACACTGCCTACAGCCTGAATCCCCTGCCTTGGCCTCAGAAGTGCTCATTCCACTTCCACACTCAGGCTTAAAGGAAAAATCTCCCTCACAGAACAATTTAAAGGGTTAACTGCGTCAGAAACTACTAAATCCATAATGCGTAAGTGGGACCAAACTTTCCTGGATTTGGGGGTGTGGCGGGGTTACCGCATGGCTGAGGCAACTTGCAAAAATTGGAGACAGGTTTGCTAAATGCCAACCCTACCCTACCCGCATCAGAGGACTTTTGCCATTTTTAATGCAATCAAGGTCCAGTCCAAAGACAGAGCAATGGAACTATTTTTAAAAAACGGTTGGTCTCTTTTCTGCACAGGCACCAGTGGTTGCCAGTTCCTTCCAGCCCTTCCAACCAGCGGGCTGCAGGCGGGGTGAGAGGTGAAGGTGTTCGTGTGTGCCTTTCATACTTGGCCTGGCTCGGGGTGGGATCGACTCTGTGTTCCTTCACTTTATTTGGGAGGTCTCCTACCATCCCTCCCCCTGCCTCGGCCCCTTGGAGTTGGCTCTGGTCAACGATGCTGGGTGAGAAATGGAAATGGAGCCCTCAGAGCTCTGCCCCCCCCTCCACTCACCAGCCCTCCCACCGCCTCACCTCCTCTTCCAGCTTGATGACCCTGGCCTGGGCATTGCTCAGAGCCTGGTCCAGGATTTCAATGTGCCTCCGGTGGTCCTCGCTCGCGGTCCTCACTGCCGCTAACTCCATTTCTAACTTCTCCTTTTCCTTCAAGAATTCTTTGTCTAGAAGGCAGACAAGAACAAAACTACACGTATCAGAAAATGTTCACCCTCTGGGCTCACTGCCAGTCTACATCTGGCAAAGATTAAAAGTAAAAAGCATGAACAGAGTAGAGGGTCGAATTACTGCTTTTGCTCCCTCTTAAGAGTTGTGGTGTGCGAGGTAAGGATTTTCTCAAAAAGCACTGTTACCTCCAGACACACTCAGTTCCAGAGAGGAGCCAGCGCCCCGCAGTCCCAACCACTCTCTTCTGCACGTTGACTCCGATGCTGCAAATGACCTTCTTCCACATGATTTCACTTTAAGCTCACAGCCTCCCCTGCTTCCATCCTCCAGACCAGCGATGAAAGGACAGGCGACACCAGCAACAGTACTAATGTTCTCATTCTCAGGAAAATGAACCAAGGTGCAGAAGGGTAAGCTCTTGGTCTGGGGCCACGCAGCAGAAGGGAGCTTCCACCCAGGTCCCCCATTCTGCCTGGATCCCCTTCCCATAGGACTTCGCCCCACATTTTCTCCTACCTCTGTTCAAGAAAGAAAAGAGACACTGCTTTGGATTTAGGAAAATGGCTTTCCCCTCGCTGACAGTGTCACTGCTGGTGAGCATGTCTCTGCACATGAAGCCAGGCCGCCCTGTGTCCCACCTCCGCATCACCTCCCCGGAGGCCACCATGCCCAGCACCTCCGCCTCACCCTCCCCGAGGGCGCCCTGTGCCCCACCTCCGTTATCACCTCCCAGAGGCCGCCCTGTACCCCACCTCTGTATCACCTCCCCAGAGGCCGCCCTGTGCCCCACCTCTGCCTGCCCCCCCCAGGCCGCCTGTGCCCCACCTCTGCATCACCCCCCCAGGCCGCCTGTGCCCCCACTCCGCATCACCCCCCCCCCCGTTCCCCGGAGGCGGCCTTTGCCCCACCTCCGCATCACCCCCCCCAGGCTGCCCTGTGCCCCACCTCCGCATCACCACCACCCCTCCGCATCACCCCCCCCTCCGCATCACCACCCCCTTTACCCCGGAGGCCGCCTGTGCCCGGCACCTCCGCATCACCCTCCCGGAGACGTCCTAGCTCCCACTTTACAAGGCAGGCGAGGCTGACAGTGTCACGGGGTCAGTATCATTTAGTGAGAACATTTTTCCTGTTACAAACTCAATAGGTTTTATTTTTTAAATAAATTAGAATAGTTAGACACACTGTTTATAAAACTTGAGTGGACTTCATGTCTAAGACTAGGGACTGGTTGAAGAAATCACCGTGAGCTCTATCATAAGACAGGCAGGATGCCACCATAAAATAAGTGAATCTCAGAAACATGAGAAAACCCTCTTCATCACTGAAAAAAGGTGGTTACAAATCCCGATGCACACTACTCCGTGTGCTTAGAAAACAGAGCATATAATGACAGCAGCGGCGGCGGCGGCAAGGGCCAGGCATGGATTTCTGTGTGCTCACACCACGTGAATGTCTCTACCGGTGACCTCCATCCTCCTATCACCCCACGCCGAGCGCCAGTCTGGAAGGACACCAGCGTGTGACAGTGGTTTCATTCACTCACGATTTCCCGCTACAGTCATTCATTAATTTAACAACAGACAACGACAGTAAGGACCAGCCCAGTGGGCACTGTCGCGTAGAAAAAAGCAGTGCTTTAGGGGCAGAAAATGTGAAAGCAGGACCGGAGAATGAAAAGGACGCTTCAAGGCTGCAAATGCCCTGTTCTCAAACACACAGTGTGAGCCGGAAGAGATCACAGGAAACATCACCACCCCCTATGCTTAGTGGGTAAGAAAAGGAAAGCCCAGGAGCGAAGGCACTTGTCCAAGGTCCCCCGCCAGCTGGGGCAGAGCCAAGGCAGAACCCAGGTCCTCCGACGTCCCCCTGCACCGCCCTTGCCCTGCGAGGCTGTCCGTGGGATCAGAGTGCAACGGGACAGCTTCGGAACGCACAGCGGCTGTGCTTCCTGAAACAGCAGCATCCCCGGGAAACAAAATCCTGACCCAGAACAGAGCATTGCCCTTGGGCTCTTCTTGCTCCGCTGCAATGTCCAACGACCCTCCCCACTTCTCCCTCTCGGTGGCATTTGAAATGCTGCCTCTGAAACTCCCTTCCCAGTCCATGGGGAACAGGCTCTGGGCCCCACCATCCACAGCCCCGAACAGCCCAGGGCACTTCTCTCTGTGCATCACTGACAGTCGAGCCCAGCTCCCTGGGCTTGGACAACATCTCAGTGGGCATGGTGCCCACTGGCACCCAGAAATTATTCAGCAGGCAGGCCTGGGAATGAGTCAGTGCATCTCAGAGCTTCTACCTGCCTATCAACGTGAGATAAGAGTTCTCTCTGTTGAGGGCAGCCAAGGACACACTGATTTTGACCAGAAGCAATAAAATGATAGACCGAGCCTAAGACTAGAAGCCACAACCAGGGCTTCTTGTAGTTTGCAAACTGATGATCACGATCAATACTGTGTCATGAAGAAGCTATTTTGATTTCTGAATTAACAAAGACCCCTCCCCTGCAACACAACACACACACACACACACACACACACACACACCCCAGCAGTTGCTATTTCCTCGATAGGCAGTATCACTTGTGGTTAAAGAGTGGACTGCAGCATCAGGAAGGACTGGATATCTAGGACTTCAGCTGTTGGGGTCATCATTGATTCCTTGAGCCTACAACATTGCCTGGCTCAACAAATATTGAATGAATGACTTTCTACCATGTGTCAAGTTCATGCCAACTGTACAATGGCAACTCTTGTCAGACGTTAAGGTTGGGCGTTCGGTGTCCAGCCTTTGTTATACCGCTGTCTACTCCACCTGTGAGGCCACCACGCACCGGGTGGCTGTACAGGCCATGGGCATGCCCCGTTCCCTTCTCTGCCCAGGCTACGGAACCTCGAGTGTACACTCCAGGACAAAGACGTGGGTAAGGGGTGAGGACTCCATAGGATCCGAGGCCTCTGGAATTCATGGATCAAAACACTAAATCTGGTGACTTCAGACTTCAGACTGAACAGTATCACTTTGTATCATTCACCCTGGCTCAGAACAACTTGTCCACTGACAGGAAGTAGTGTTCTCAGTAATAAAGTTTTAAAAACAAACATTCGTGATAATAATAACTAAACCCACTCATGTTTGTTGAATGACTGTATTCCAAAACGGTGACATATTATTCCCTTTGTATCATCATTTCCTTTAAGTTGGCTGTACGAGGTGGGCACGTTACTCTCTCATTCCCAGCCGAGGACAATGATGCTACGGATAAGTAACGTGCGCACAGGAGTGAGGCTCACCGATGGCAGCGCCAGAACCTGCACTGGCATCTCAGCGTGTCCACACGCCTGCCTCTGCACCGCCTCCCCAGCAAGAGCGCAGAGATGAAGAATTGCCCGACGGACGCAGACAGAACAGCAGAGCTCCATTGTCATGCAGCTCATTACTGCACGGAGTTCAGGATGTCACGGGCCACAGCATATTTCTCAAAATACAGCAATCATACCCACATGTGTATCCTTTTGCAAATGTCCATTAATTAAGCTTCCAGCACGTGGACACGTCACAGAGCACTGGTTAGAAGCACGGATCTAGAATCAAGCTGCCTGGTGCAGACCCAGCTCTACTACTTAGGTTTTGTGACTCTGGAAGTAAAAGCACTTGTTTGTGCTTCAGTTTCCTTGCCTTTATACTGAGGGTCACAACAGAACCTACTTCAAAATGCACACAGTAAGTGCCCAGTAAATGCCAACTATGATAACGCTGTGGTTACTGTTAGGAAGTGCGACAGTTTCTGGGACGACAGTTTCTGGGACGACCAGGGCACAGCATTCTGCACTCACCTGGGTGGGAAGCGAGGCAAGGACTAGGCAGAGGGAGTGTGACGAGTTGCTCTAAGAGGTGTTTGCACGGGATACTGTGAGAACACAGAGGGGGGGATATCAAGGCAGGGAGCCCACAGATGGGGTACCTGTGCCCCTTTGACTCCCTGGAGACTTGGGGCCTGAGTTATGTCAGAGCCATTTTAAAAAGTCATCTCTTTCCCTGGCCAGTTTGGCTCAGTGGTAAGAGCGTCTGCCCGCGGACCCATGAGTCTCAGATTCGGTTCCTCCGGTCAAGGGCATGTACCTCGTTTTCGATTCGTCCCCGGCCCTGGTTGGGGTCGTGTGGGAGGCAGCCACTTGACGTGTCCCTTGACATCAATGTTTCTCTCTCTCTCTCTCTCTCTCTGTTCCTCTCTCTCCCTCCCACTCCATCTGAACAAAAAAAGGAAAAATGTCCTCGGATGAGGATAAAAAAATAAATAAAAAGTCATCTCTTGGGAGATGCCAAGGGAGAATCCCATGAGTAAATCCACCTCATAGGACAGTCGTTTATTATTAGCTAAGCCCCTTGGGAGGGATCTCAAGAAAGACCAGCCTCACTCTGAAGTTTTGGTTGGGCTCCAATGTATATACTGAGAATTCCTAGGCCAGCTGACACAGGGAACTCTCGCCCAGCACGGTCTGTTTACTCAGATGGATTACCCCGGCCTGCGTGGAGCAGGGAGCAGTTCAGCCCGGTGGCTCTGGTCCGTTTACAGGGATGCCGCCTGCGCATACACTGGGTACTCTGGAAACCACAGCCATGGCACCGGCTCCGCACCAGGCCGCATGGCTCACCGTGGACACGTGGCTTCACCTCTGTGCTTCCAGCTCCTTGGGCGGAACCAGTGAGATGGACTTTGCAGGACTGTTGAGAGGATTCAAGGGACTCTGCAAAACACCTGCCACCGGGCGTGCTCAGTGGTTAGAACATCCGCCCGCGGACCAGTGAGTCACGGGTTCTGGTCAAGGGCACGTACCTCGGTTGTGGTTTGTCCCCGGCCCTGGTCAGGGTCATGCGGGAGGCAACCAGTCAATGTGTCTCTCTCGAATCAAGTTTCTCCCTCTCTCTCCCTCCCTCCCTCCCATTCTATCTGTACAAAGTTGGGAAAAAAAAAAGCGATACTTAAATAACAAGA